TATGTATTGACGTTCTTCTGGACGTGTAGTGATGCTCTGTGGTCGTTAGTATTCATTATAGAGGGTAATAACTCGTCAAGGGAAACGGGCGCATACCAATCCTTACTGCATTTACCCAAATAAGTGTCTATATTAATAATAATTTTAAACAATTATTAATTCATAGTCAAAAAATTCCAAATAAAATAATGTCAGCAAATACTATTGCTATTTATGCAAATGTTTCCTATATTACTTATGTAAAATACGGTAGGAAAATTTTATCACAGAAAGAAAGAAAATGAGAAACAATAAAATTATTAAAAAGTATTTACTGTTGCAAAATGTTCAAAAAATCATAATATTACCTGTAACTTTAAAAAAGAAGTAATTTCAGTTATAATCTCTGATAATTTTACGGAAAACTTTAAATTACATAATTATCTATTTTTACTGGTTTTCTCTAGGATTACAGAAAGTAAATTAGCACTGCACAGAATGGTAATAAACATGTTTTACTTATTAATTTATTACTTTGAAACATTTAATTTCAACGGATGTTTTATCACAATGAGAACTTGTGGTCTCAGGTCTAGTAGAGAACCAGAGAAAGGAGTTAGTATGCAACCGCATGTAACAGGGTAACAACTTGAGAAGGGAAACGGGAAACTGAAAGCGGTATGAGGGTCTATTGTTAAATGAGGACACATACCTACGTACACACGCGAGGGTTTGTTTGGTTTATTATGGGGGACGTGCGTCTAAATTTACACACTGTTTACGCACATGTTTTGTAATCTTTATATGACTTTTCCGGTTAGAGTTTTGGCTGCTTACACAATACATTTGCTTTAGTACGTATAAAGTGTGCTTACAATGAGTTCTTCCCCTATTTGGTGTCTAATGGTGTTTACAAAGGATCCTATTTATTATTTTTTTTTTCAAACAAGTTAAATGGTTCTGATTTTATGACAAACTGCGGAAGAAAAGAGATTTTAAGAATAAAAACCAAAAAGAAAATAAAACTAGTCAACATGGACCAGGGAACCAGGAGCGCGAGTGTCATTTTCGACATCGTTTACGAGTCGGAATCTGGCCTCAAAAGTGTCTCAGTCTCAGCACGTCATAGATCTGAGACATTTTAACTTCAAACTCAAAAAATGCAATTTTTGGCGCCTTGGTGACAACTAGTAGGTGAAGTAAATAGACAAAATAACCAAGAGGGTAGTCATGTCCCACGTATCTTTTGTCAGTAAATTCTTGCAGGCTCTATCACATCGAGATCTTGAACTTATAAACTCTGAAGAAAAAACTCACTCTTGTGCATTTGCTCTTTGAGATGAATTTCCGGAGATTTCAACTTATTGCAGTATTGAGTACTGATTCAATAGAACGTTTTCCCATTTCACTGCTAGTTATTCCGCCAGGTAACGTCAAAGTTGATCAATACTGATTTAACTGATATGGTTAATTTTTCACCGATTTTGATAATTAAGAAGTCAATTTCTATACATGAAATGATTATGATGAAACAATTTTGTAATAAAAATGTTCTAGTTGAAGATCAAAGACAGTCCTAGATACTTTTTCGTGGGAAATATTGATATTATATTTAACGAATATCCAAGTAAAGAATGTCAATTAAATGTAAGCTATAAACATCATTGTTTACCTATAGAACTTATTGCTAATGGTTGGCCATTTTTGTGTTTCCATGGTTACGGCATTGTTGCTGTTGTCGGCCATTACAATTTTTAATTGTTGCCGCATTGTTGTTGTGGTCGGCCATTATTCTTTTCTAATTGTTGCCGTATTGTTTATCTGTCGGCCATTACTGTTTGCTAATTGCTTTCCAATAAAAATTGATTTCAAAATTCTCTGATAAAACACTATAAAAATGCAACTATAACAAATGTTCCAATCAAATAAATGAATGAATATGCTTTATTTTCTTTCTGATATAAGTACGTACTTATTCGTTTATCCTTGACATGAAATAGTTGTCAAGAAGGATCTGATTCAGGTTAAATAGGTGTTTGATTATTAACATAATGCCCTTCTGTCTTCATTTCGTCCGTTTCATCTTTCTCACCCGAACCACCACCCGGGTCTTCCGCCCTATCTTCCGGCGTAGTCCGGAGGGACTGCCTGCCTACCAGCATTACTAGCTGGTGGGAATGGAACACCTAAAAGTTTTTTTTCTCAGATAATCGTCTCGAAGGGAAAATTTTCGTTAAAGGACTTCTTCTTCAATGATATTTCCAAAAATATTCTTAATTAAAGTAATTGTTTTCCGAAAATACTTTCCAAAACACCTTGCATTGTATACTGCATAATTTTTTTATTTAATTGGTTAATTTTATTTTAACGATGCTTGTTTATAATTATTACATTGTCCGCCTTTATAGTTATTATCTTTTGAATATAACCGACGTCTTGGTTGTAATTCTTATCACTTTGGCAGTCGCATAAATCGGCTACAGTCCCACAATTAATATCGCTTTTGTAGTTAAGGCATGGCAGGTCAAGCTTGCACTTTGTTGTTTTTGTTGAACTTTAGTGAAAGATTGGTCGCAATGGACGATGCAAACTGACCCCTTACAGATCAGTTTTAATTAACAAAGGTTCACACGTTTCCTTTCTCTTGTTTTTAACGGCCGACAGACAATAAGTTACCATTTGTTTTGTCCGATGACAAAAGCAAAAGTTGTTGTTATGTTGTCGTCGAACTTCCGCATTAGAAATGCAAAATGAGCAAACTGAAACAGTTACTTATTGTTGTTGATTTGCAAATAAGTACCTGTGATTTATAGTCCTTTTTTGGTACTTGAAACATGTTATTAGAGGATTGTTAACATTTTTCTTTATTTTTTCTAATTAGTACATAAAATTAGTAAATAGTAAAAACGAAATTTTGAAATCGTATAAAATAAAAGTTTAAAGACAAATGATGTTCATTCCTTATTGTGTTTCAACATCTTTCATAAACTTTTTAAGAATGATTGACAATGACTATTTATCACACATTTTATTAAATAAAACATTAGTGATCGTGAAATCATCTAGCATATGCATTTCAAAAATGTAAGCAATTAATAAAAATTTTATTTAATTTACATAGGGTAACATAGTTACGAAATTCAGATCTTCTCTGTATTCCATAATATAATACTGAGTGTGTCACTAAAAATTTATAGTGATAATTGTTCCCCTTAAAGACCCGACCTATTGATCGCTGCGGTTGATTATCCCACAGAAAATTAATAGAAATAATTCGAATTAAATAGACAATTTACAATGTAATATCCGTGCAATGATGCACAAATTCTAGTTAAAGGGTTAAAAATGAACGTAAAACAGTATGTATGTCAAATGAACAAAAAAAATATTCGACTTAAAAAATGGATATGTTCCGAAATATAACTTAGCATACTAGTCAGTGCTGATGACGCCATAAATCGACGCCATATTGTATTGATGTGCCGCCATATTGTACTGGTGAGACAAGTGTGACGTAGTAGTATATCAAACTGGCGATATACACCAGACTTTGAAGAATTTTTAATTGTAAGAAACATTAATAACTTTTGGAACAAAATTGTTGTAAACGAGCACAAACACTATTCGCAATATGGCGTCAGTTTAACGTCAACCCACCGGCTAGTACATTTCGGAACTAATCAACAGTATGGCGTAGATTCATGACGTCATCAGCACTGGACAGTGTACTGGATTATATTCCGGAACAAACCCAAGAAAAGAAAAAAAAAATGTTTACTTGTTAACCCAGTAGGTCAAAAATTGTGTTTTGTATTCAATGACCATGTTGTAATTTCTTACTTTGACTAATTCCGCAACCCTTTTTATACAATTTTAATCGAGTACTTTTTGCACCTACTACAGAGAAAAATAGAATGAATATGACCCGTTAATCACCCGTCAATTATTTTACTATTAATTAATACGCTGATTGTCAGGGTCAGTTACGAAAACACGACACTTATTGAGAACGCCGGTGCATTTGGGCTATTTACAGGACCGGATCGTCCGAGCGCTCATGAACGTCTTAAATTTCGGTCTAATTTGAACAAGCACACAAGAAACGTAGCGAGTATAATGTATGAGACAGGCGCATTCATCGGTACTTGTCATTATAAATAAGAATTCTCCGTTCATAAGTTATGAAGTTGTTAAACGTAACCAGAGGCAAATCATTCGTTTACATGTGCTTTTATTATACCCCAGTGTCATGGACAGCATCCTTATTTTATAAATAAAGTGTCATTTTATACACGGAACGGTAATAAAAGTTACATTGGCATCGCATCCAAGATAAAATAATAGTCGCTGTCTACGCTTAATTAGTAGACTTAATTATCAGTCTACAGTTTTGTTTTCGGATACATTGATGACTAATAAAGACATTCTCGTTTATTTTCACTTTCGCTTTATTTAATGATAATCACCGTCCATTGAAATTTTTCCACCATTAACACCTATTACCATTACTCATATTCGTGCTACAAAATTTAAAATTCCAACAATAATTCTACCAAGCGCCGAGGTCTAGATCACAGATTAGTATTCGGGAGGTCCGATTTCGGGTCCATCTACCCTGATCCAAATTTTTCTGTGATTTCTTTGGATTATTTAGATAAATGCTGATGCATAAGGTTGAACACTTCACTTTCGTCTTCATTTTATTCATATTATCCCACGACTCCTAGGAGGAGGCTAAAGAAGGTCTTCTGTCCTACCTTCCAGCTTTGGGCCAGAGTTTAGGTCGAAGGGATAGCATCAGCATTACGTCAAGAAAATTGAAAAATGTTGCAATACTGTAAACTTAAAAATTGTTATGCCAAAACTTGATATTCTTAAATGATATGAAAAATTCAAATCACCTTAAAGAGCTACTTAATTTTCCATATATTTGACATCCCTTCAACCCAAAACAAGCTTCAATTACGTATAAGTAAATTTGTAAGTCACTGATTTTAATCGTCTGTATGCATTTGTTTCAGGCAAAGTGTGATGTAGCTAGTTTGGTCGATCGGTATTTTGGCGACATTTACTGGAACTTTCAGAAGACTCGAAAGTGTTTAGTGCGTCAAGCTAGGGACGTTTTGGTTTGCGAGTACCACGGTTCTCTTCAGAAATTTGAAGAGGAATTTTGCATCCCTGCCTCCAAACTTCTGCAACAAATCAAGGTAAGAGAAACCTTTCCATTCCTGCCCTTTAGTTTATAGTAACGTAACTTAACAATATAAATGGTAACTTCTTAACAAAGAAGAGCATTTTAAAATTTAGGTGTCATATTTGATTCTAAACTGATCTTTGTTAATCACATTAACGATATTGTCAAGCAAACCTTCAAATCAATTGGATGTATTATTCGTAATTCTAGACAGTTTCTAGACATAAATACATTTATCTTATTATACCAAGCACTGTATCCATGCATAACATAGAATCCGGGTTATAATATACATAGGACTAGTATAGAAAAGGTTTAACGACGCTTTCTAAAGTTTATATCATTTAAATCTGATGGAATTTATCCACCTTGAGGTATTTCGCAAGAAAATTTATTGTCTAGATTTAAGTTAAATGCTTCAAACCAAAGAAGAACTTGCTTTTCGGTTCTTTTTCTTTGTAAAGTTATAAATGGTGAAACCGGCTACTCCTACTAATTCCTATTCGCAAGTGTATTCAGTCTTGCTCCTTTGCTGTTGGTTCAGTCTCTTGTATTCACAAAAATTCCTTTCTTAGCTATGGCATGAAGACGATTACAACCGTTGGCATCTTCATTAAGGCTTATCGGACTCATTTATGCGATGTGTGTCACTCGTTCAACAGTTAAATAGCTTCGGTTTTTACGATTTTTCCTGTACTATTCGTCTGCGACAATATTGCTAATGGGTCCCAACAAATCGGTCCTTATTAGTTGGTGTCTGTACAGTTCCCTCGCTTTATTTATCCATTAAAGGCTAAACGAAGTGACCCGACGTAATCTTCGCATCTACTTTAATTGGCGATTGGTGAAGACTTTGTCTATAAACAAGTGGATTTCAATTAGGCGGTCGCACACGGAAACGTCACCTGTTTGTAATACTTTCCGCGCTCATGGGTCTGTTCGAAGAATGTCTCTCGTTCTCGTGTTCTAATCAGTACCTTTACGTTAACCCCGCGGCTTTGACTGTCATACCGAGAATTTTAATGAATATGAATATTTTTTAATAGGGCGAGGGGATTGGCGACCATTTGTTAATTAAATAATTACATAGCGACAGTCGACCGCCTTAATACAAATAATATTCTCAAGCGGATGCATGCAAATTGCTAATATTAGAGGTGAAGAGAATAATTGTATTGGCTTAAAACAATCCACTCAGGCATAAAAATTGCTTTTGCACAGAAACTGTAGTCTGGATCATATAAAACGTTTAGGGAAATTAAAATAAAGAAGAAAAATCATTGTTAATAAAAATTTTCGAGGAGAAAACTCTGATAAATCGTTATGATAATTCAATAGTAAGACGGGCTTTTATGTTATAGGCTATAGCTACTGCTTTAAATTCCTTAAATTTTTCTAACTGATGGGTTCGATAATGCCTAGTTCCCACCCATATACCTTTTTTTAATTAGGGTTAAAATTTTCGGCATGTCGAATTCCCTCCTAATTATACATCAATTGCCTCCCAACGGCGGCGGATGACCTTGAGTACTAATTGCCACTATAAAGTCATAAAGAGTTGTTTAAATAATACAGCCTCACATCACATATTAATCTTAATATTATTCATATATTATAGACACCACAATAACAATAATAATTTTATCAGACTACCCTTCTACTGGTCAAATACAAGACAAACTAAAACTAATAAAGTTTTTCTAGATGATTGCATCAAAAAGCTAGACGCACACGAATTTCCAAACATTGAATTTGTTAAGGTAGTGGGAAATCATTTTAAAATTAAATAACTGAACATTTTATAACTGATATGTGTTTTCTTTCTGAAATTATTTTATCTTTAATTTACTGAAGTACTGAAGTGCACTATAAATATATATTTATTTTCGATAAATAAAATCGGTAAGTAGTCGTTAACTTAATTATCGGAGTTGATATGAACGGGAGGGAACT